TATATATATATATATATACATACATATGTGTGTGTGTGTGTGTGTGTGTAAACGGGGAGGTTTGGGCTCCCAGTTTGGTCCTCCAAACTAGGGCTCCTGCATATCTCGCAGACGTTTTGTATTCTGTCAATCACAGGTTAAGGTGCGTAAAATCGTGCAAATCACTAGCCCTAAATAATTAAACGTGTGTGTGTGTAAACGTTGCAAAAAAGCCATATTGTCTTCTCTGTTTTGTTTTGTAAATACATTTTCAAGGCACGCAGAATGAATGTGTTGCAATGTACTCACCCCATCTGCTGGTTATGTATAAAAACTGCAGGATCTGGCATCTGGCATGTTGAGCCATATTTTTCCATTACCAATACGTTATTTTTTTATTTTTTTATTCCATGAAAAAAACTTTTATAGCAAAGCAAATTTAGGCAGAAGGTAAAACTATTGTTTCTAATACAAAAAAAAAAAGTTTCCAACCAATGGAACCCAGGCTGGTTCCAGGTTGAACATCATTTGGTACCTGGCTACGTCAAAGAGGAAATTTGCCATTATATGTGACTGGATTAGTTTGAATAAAGGGTCTTTGGAGAGTTAGGGTTTTTAAAGAGCAAAGCGCCTGCAGAGAAGACGTAAACTGAGCCTTTGGCTTCCAAAACCCTCTCTCCATAATTTTTAATTTTATGGTTATTATGAACAGTTACGGGTTTTGGTATTTGATTTAACCTATTAAAAATCTGTTAAGCACCGTTTGTCAGCCTGTCCTAAATGAAATCACTTCACGGTACAGAAATTTTGGGGAGCTTTTTATCTGATACATCCAAGTCTGTCAATGAGTTTGTCAACAGTTTAAAAACTCATTGTTCTGAAAAGAAGCTAAAAGTGACATACTTAAAAAAAAAATCTGAATAAAACTAGAAAAACAATCATCTCATTGGCTGCCCTGACAAGTCTGCTCAGGTGGAGCCTCCAAACCAGGGAGTGAAGCTATGCCCTCTTGAGGTTCCTCTGTCAAAGGCGGTCAGGTGTGTCATAAGGAAAACCTGTTTTCTTGCATTTGTGGTGGAGGGGTGGAGCCGCCGTTAGCATTAGCATTACCGACTACCAGATAGATTATTTCTCATTTTACATGGTAAGAATACACGATTGAAAATTTAAAAAAAAAATGGAGATCTTAAATCAATTTTAAAACTCTGTCTGTGCTGATAAATCTCTTCCAGCAGGGGGAGCTGGCTACCAAATGTTTTTTTTTGGCAGTCTTTACAATCCTGTTTAGCTGGCATTGCTACTGTGTCATGCAGTCGCCAAACCAGAACATCAGGCTGAAAGTCAGGATGTTTTTGTCGGTGCCCTTGAAAAATGTGATAAAGTGCTTTTTTTGTGCTTTTTTTGACGAATGCTGTGGTGTTGATTGAGAAAGACAGATCGCCATCCTTTCACAGTGAGATGATTACGGTGTTGTTTGTCTGACTTTCTGAAGTCAGTCATCATCTCTTTCTCCTTATCCTTCATGAAGGTGGCTCCACCTTCTTTCTGCCCCTGAACCTGGATTACTATTGACGATGGTATTCATTTAGCCAAGACTCTCACAGTAGTCCGTCACGCTGCATTTAAAAGCTGTCCACGCGTAGATTTAGACACCTCACCGCAGAGGTGTGGACTCGAGTCACATGACTTGGACTCGAGTCAGACTCGAGTCATCAAATTGATGGCTTTAGACTCGACTTGACAAAATGTAAGGAGACTTGCAGCTCGACTTGGACTTTAACGTCAGTGACTCGTGACTTCGCTTGGACTTAAGCCCTTGGACTCGACAAGACTTGATACTTTGTGATCTGTGTAAATATATTATTATTTTGTTTAAAAGGACTCGAAACGGAAACGGCAGGACTTGGGACTTGACTTGACACTTTTCAGTCTTGACTTGGACTCGACTCGGGCTTTACCTGTCTTGACTTGGACTCGACTCGGGCTTTACCTGTCTTGACTTGGACTCGACTCGGGCTTTACCTGTCTTGACTTGAGACTTGACTCGGACTTGAGTGCAAAGACTTGAGACTGACTTGTGACTTGCAAAGCACCGACTTGGTCCCACCTTTGCTCAATAGTATTTCAATTAGCAAGGGTGTGGGTCGGGGGGCGGGTTGTGAAAACATTTCTGTCCTTAAGGAGGGGGGGTGGGAAGGGGGGGATGACAGAAAACTCGACAAGACTTGATACTTTCTCCAAAACCCAAAGTGATCTGTGTAAATATATTATTATTTTGCTTAAAGGGACTCGAAACAGAAACGGTAGGACTGGGGACTTGACTTGACACTTTTCAGTCTTGACTTGGACTCGACTCGGACTTTACCTGTCTTGACTTGGACTCGACTCGGGCTTTACCTGTCTTGACTTGAGACTTGACTCGGACTTGAGTGCAAAGACTTGAGACTGACTTGGGACTTGCAAAGCAACGACTTGGTCCCACCTTTGCTCAATAGTATTTCAATTAGCAAGGGTGTGGGTCGGGGGGCGGGTTGTGAAAACATTTCTGTCCTTAAGGAGGGGGGGTGGGAAGGGGGGGATGACAGAAAACTCGACAAGACTTGATACTTTGTGATCTGTGTAAATGTATTATTATTTTGTTTAAAAGGACTCGAAACAGAAACGGTAGGACTGGGGACTTGACTTGACACTTTTCAGTCTTGACTTGGACTCGACTCGGACTTTACCTGTCCTAACTTGAGACTTGACTCGGACTTGAGTGCAAAGACTTGAGACTGACTTGTGACTTGCAAAGCAACGACTTGGTCCCACCTCTGCCTCACCGTGCCCTCCCAGGGTGGCCCACCCCGCCGTTTGAGAAGCACTACATTAGCACATGGTTACGTAACTGTTAGCGGCATGACATGTACATTGAATGCACCACCAGTCGCAAAAATTAGTGATGGAAGTGGAAGCTGCACAACAAATGTATACTCCAAGATACTTCTTACTGCCGATTCTGTCCACAACGATCCCATCAGTCAATGCAACAAGCCTAGCTCGCCAAAATGTCCCATTAACTGTTTTTTTTTCTAATCTTTTTGCTAGCTGAAGGTCAGTCTGGATGATTCAAAGAAGCAGCTACAGGATGAGATGCTGAGACGAGTCGACGCAGAGAACCGTCTGATGACAATGAAGGAGCAACTGGAGTTTCAGCAGAACGTCTACAAAGAGGTGTCGTTTCTTAGTCTCTTAGTTTGTTCCACTTTTTAACTCCTCCTTTGTTTGGTTGCTTTCAGTCGTTTGTTTTGCCTTCAGATACGGAGTTTTATATTATCTTTATCTTTTTTTTTAGCAACAATTAGCACTAACATTTATATTAGGTCATTGTCTTCCAAATCACTTTAGGTCCATGACTAGATTATTTCCTCCTGCTAGAAAATCAGAATAGTGATAGTTAGTTTCCAGTTAACGTCCACTTGCGCCTTATCCGCAGTTTCTGTTTGAATGATTTTTTTTTTTCCTTTTTCCCTTTTTGAATTAATATTAGATTCTGGGGCTGTTGAAATTTTTTTTTTTAAACGGCTAAATCACCAGATTACTGTGGAAAAAGCAAATCGATGTTTGTGTATAAATCAAAATTTAGCTTCAATTTTCAAAAATATGAATCAGTCAATAGTCTATCACAATACTACTTATAAAATATATAATAATTTGGACCTGTCAGCTGGTCAGCCGTACATTTACCTAGGCTGGTCTGACACAAACATGAGTATTTCTTGATATTTGTATCAACTATGCATTAGAGAAATTGTAAGTTGATTTAAGGAGGAATAATTGGATTGTTTTATCCAATTATTCCTCCTTAAATCAACTTACAATACTGTATTTTAAGAGGGGTTGTCTTCGTTTTAATTTAGCGTAAAAACTACATTTGAGCTCTATAAACAACTGACTACAGTTGACTTGAGTTGTTACAGCGACGACTACAAGCCTTGAAACACATCCGGGCCTAACTTCATGTCAACAAGTTGCATCAAATATCTACTTATCCTGATTTGAAAAAAAAAATAAAATGACGCCGATTCGTAAATTTAAAGTGGATCTAAAAACCCCCGTGCGAAACATTTGTATTAAATTCAATAAAAATACATTCAATTCAATGAAAAATAATTACCAGTCTGACGTTATTCCATCCTATTTTTGCTCGCGTCGACAGGAGCTGCGTGAATCCAACAGTCGTTTTGAGTCTCGCATGGTTGAGATCAACAACGGACAGCAGCAGGAGTATGAGAGCAAGCTAGCAGAGGCCCTGGTTGAGCTTCGAAGGCAGCATGAGGATCAGGTTTGCCTCTACAAAGCTGAACTGGAGAAGACCTACCAGTCTAAGGTAAGTCTCTGCTCAAGTTCTGTCATTTGTTTTTATAATTGCATGTCTTTTAAAGCCCGGATGGACAATGATTTGACACTTATTGACGATCAGGTGCAAGTGTCTGCTCAAAGTTGATTTCCTTTGAAAATGTTTTTTTTTTTCAGACTCTGTGATGTTTGAAGTGCAAGTGTCTGCTCAAAGTTAAATTTCCTTTGAAAATGTTTTTTTTTTCCCCCCCCAGCGTGCCTGATTCTAAATTTATGATCTTATGATCTATGATATAACTTCTATAGTGTTTAGACTTAAACTTTTGGTGTCTTAGATTTGTTACAAGGTACAGGTACAGCTCTGTTTGTCAGGCACAGCACAGCATTGATTTGCATACAATGCGATTTTTTATTTTTGTGTGTATTTCTCTCTCTCTCTCTCTATCATCCATCCATCCATCCATTCATATCTATCTATCTATCATTATTCCTTATCACTATCTGTTAGCTGGAGAATGCCTGCCAATCAGCTGACAGGAACAGCCACATGGTAGGAGCTGCTCATGAGGATCTGCAACAGAGCCGTGTTCGAATCGAGACCCTGTCGGGCCAACTGAGTCAACTGCAGAAACAGGTATACAGCTCCTTGAACTGCTGGTTCTTTCCAGAGTGGAATGTCTCCATGTTTGCGCTCAGTGGTCGAAGGAGAAGGTGACAAACTACTAAGCTGCACTTTTTTTCCTCCGTAGAACTTGTGAAGAAAAAGTTCAAATTAATTGTTTCTAATAAACTGGATGTTTAATAATATACTAATATATATATACATATATATATATATATATATATTTTGGGTCATGTTTGAATTCTATATTTTAATTAATGTCACCGAGTGGTTAAAAAAAATAACGTATTACAATTCAATTAGTTAGTAAGTTAAAAAAAAAATAGTCTGAAATGTAACATTCGTAACGTAAGTTCTTTAAATTGTATTGAAGATTCTTTCACAAAACCCGCAATGTGTTTAGGCCTCCACATGAGGGCGCCAGAGACAACCGCACGAGAGAGGGAGTAAATGCAAAAATCAAAACAAACCTGGCTTGGCTTAGCTAAGCTGGTCAGCGTTTGTCGAGTAAACACCAAAAAATAAAGTTGTCAGGTTTTATTCCCTCCTTTGTTTTTAAATTGCATCAGCAATAACTAAGGGTATGCCGCTATCAAAATTAGCTAGTGTTAGTGATTTTACTGGAGGAGGAGGAGTAAACCTTATACACCAATGAATTGAATTGAATTGAGCGCCCACTTGTTTAAGCCGTAAGTCACTTCTGTGTTTGCCTTTGAAAAGCTGTCCGCCAGCGATGCCAAAGTGCGGGACTTGGAGGAGAGCCTAGCACGAGAACGTGACCTCATGAGGCGTCGCCTGGAGGCTAAAGAGCGAGAAATTGCTGAAGTACAAGCTCGGATGCAGCAGCAACTGGATGATTACCAGGAACTCTTGGGCATCAAATTGGCCTTGGACATGGAGATCAGCGCTTACAGGAAGCTGCTGGAAGGAGAAGAGGAGAGGTACTTTTTTTTTTCTTTTTTTCTAGAGAAATCTGAAGTCTTTTATTCTAATGAACGTATTTGCAAGGAGGAATTAAAAGTGTTTTAGTCATTCTCTCTGAGAAAGCAATTGACCAGGTGGAATGGGAGTATGTGTTTGACACTCCAAAAATTTGGACTGTGGGGGGGGGGGTTGCTGTAGTAACTAATGGACGACGATTTGACAAGAAGTGTTAGCCTGGCTGCCTTCTAAGCCTACTTCTCTTTGCCTTAGCACAGGCGTGGGCAAACTTTTTGACTCGCGGGCCAAAATCGGTCCTAAAATTGAACGGGGGGGCCGGGTCAGAAGCAGCTAGATAGATTACGTATGTAAAACTCATGCATAAAGGATAATTAGCTAAAATGCTTTTATCATTTTCTACGCCATCTATTGGGGAGACATGGGTATTGCAGGGAAAAGGCAGACGTATAATGATATTATCAATTATATAATTTGGAAAAGTTTGGCGGGCCGGATTTAAAAAGCTGAACGGGCCGCATCCGGCGCCCCGGGCCTTAGTTTACCCGTGCCTGCCTACAGCTGAATGCATACGTCAACATTTTTGACAGTTGAGATCAAAGGAGCGCTGATGGGAACATTGAACAAAATTGAATAAAATTGACATGTATGCAGATGATGTTCTCCTATTTCTAACATCGCCTAAACATTCAATTCGTGCTATTCTGGCAACTTTTGTTAAGTTCAGTTTTATATCTGAATACACAATTAATCGATTTGCCTCTGGGGGCAAATAACTGATGATGGTCAATGGCTTACTTAATTTAGCTCCAATCTGTGCACAAATTAAAAGAGATTTGGAAGGCTGCGGAGACTTGCATTCATGGGCTCGTTCTCATTGTCTTTGGAGCATGGTAACAAAAATACCTCTTGTTGTTAAAAAAAAAAAAAATCTTATTATATACAATAGTATTAAGATCTGGCAGGATATATGTATCTAAACATATCGGAAGAAGAAAAACCTAGTCTTTGCTATCCCCTGTAACCCAAAATTCTGACTTTTCTTCTTGGCGGAACACAGGAATTCATACAATTATAGACAACGTTTTAATGTCCTTCCAACAACTTGAAGCAACAGTCAACATCCCTCAACAACATTTTTTGCTTACGTACACTTGAGACATTTTATATGCGCCCCCGGTCACATCCTTCCCTACTGACACTACTGGTAACCATGTAGAGAAATGTACTATGGAGCGTAAACATGGAAAGCACTTCATATCATCTTTCTATTCACTTCTTAGGGAACACCTTTGGTGTTTATGTGCTATCAGTTATCTCTCATAAATGACACTAAATATATAGACACTAAATATATAGTAATATATATAGTAATATATAGAGGATGACTGGCAGAGCTCATTACGTTTGATTAAGTCTACGTTCACATGTAACAGATTAAGGGGAAACGCGATATAAAATAATTCCCAGACTCCATGTGACTCCTGTTATGTTACATAACATTAAAATTCTCTCCTATTTGCATCAAATGGAAGTCAGAGACGGGAACATATTTTCACTGCTTCTGGGAATGCGAAAAGATCTCTACATATTGGAAACATATTTCTTTGGTACTCAGTGGGATTTTCAAATTAAAATTCCCTGTAGGGAACTAAACATTCCTGCCACCCACCGTTAGCTTCTGGACAAAACTACTCTTGATAGCCCGATCCACCCAATATCACCCTTTGGTACAAAGAGGTTTTCAATACTCCACCCCCATGAAAGGCTGCATGCAAAGAAGAAAGAGGAGTATTTCTTAAAGATTTGGTCTCCCTTTTTCTAAATCATATACCAAAGCAGCTAAGAGATTTGCTTTTAGAAGAATGCTTATTTTGTGTCTTTATATTCAACGGTTAGCTGGAAAAGCTAATTGTAGCAAAAATACAAACACTCGTTCTTAAGATATCAACTTGAGCTTTATTACAACAACATCCAATCAACTCATGTTTCTCTCTCATGTTCAACTGTCTTCAGGCTGAAATTGTCACCTAGCCCTCCCTCCGCCAAGACCGCAGTTGCCCGTTCCTCCGGATCAGGCCACGCCCACACCGGCCGCGTGCACCATTCCTCAGCTGCCGCCGCCGCCGCCGCCTCCAGCAGCCGCAGCTCATCTGGTATAGCCATCAGCAAGAAGCGCCGTCTTAACGATAATGACAGTGAGACCTCCAGTACAACAGGCACTGTTACTAAAACTCGCATTGGCCACCGTGCCTCAGCCAGCGGCCGTGTCAGTATAACTAAGGAAGACCAGGACGGCAAGTACATCCGCCTCAGCAACACGTCAGACGAGGTTAATTAAGTTGTTTTTTTTTTTTGTTTCTCCTGATACCAGGTCAAAGTATTTTCATGGCAAAAAAAAAAAAAGTAAATATGACAATGGCATGTACAAGTATGTAAGCTAGCTACGAGTACGTAGCTAAGGCTGAAATGTCTACGCTAAAGCTTAATCGATCAATGTTGTCCGTTACTAAAACAGGACCAGTCACTCGGCCACTGGCAGGTGAAGAGACAGGTCGGAACCTCCAGCCCGACTGTGTACAAGTTTCCTCCAAAGTTCGTGCTTAAAGCTGGAGGAACTGTGACGGTGAGTTCATTTGCCGGCATTTCGTCGATATCACTCAGGCTAAGATGTCGGCTAATCGAAAAAATGGATTGATCTACAAAGCTGCTAAAATATTCTTCAAGTGTTCTCCTGAGAACTTTATTAGCAGGTTTACTTACAAGCTAAAATAGGGGCGGGGGGGCGCCCTCTAGTGTGCCATTTGAATGAAACGTGACGCAGCATGTTGTCCATATTGAACAGGTTTTCCTAAGAAACCACGCAGGCGCCCAGTGGAGAAAATCTGGGAACCGCTGTTCTAACGTCATCTCATGCCATTTTTTTTTTTTTTTTGCAAATACCGACTTTTGTAGATCTGGGCTGCATCCAGTGGTGAAACCCACAATCCTCCCACGGACTTGTTGTGGAAGACCCAGGACTCGTGGGGCGTTGGTGAACAGACGGAGACCACACTCATCAATGCCAACGCAGAGGTTTGGAATAGACTTACGTACATGCGATTTAACCTCCCGCATTCGATGGATTTTAACACATCATGTTGTGATCTGACGTGGCAGGAGATGGCCGCCAGAAAAGTGACACGCAGCCTGTTCCAAGATGACGAGGAGGATGACGAGGTCAGTGCTCTATTAACATCTTACAGTCTACCCACTGGTTTTTTTTAACTAGTACTTCCTCAAATAGCTTCTAATGCAATATGGCCATTGGACATAAGTGGACCACTGCTGTAATGCAGCCTCCAGTCACTAGGTGGCAGCAACTCATAGAGTGGTTTGTACATGATAAGAATATACATGTTATCAGGTTCTCAATAGCAGAGGTGTGGACTCGAGTCGCATGACTTGGACTCGAGTCAGACTCGAGTCATCGATTTGACGACTTTAGACTCGACTTGACCAAATGTAAAGAGACTTGCGAACTCGACTCGGACTTTAACGTCAACGACTCGTGACTTCACTTGGACTTGAGCCCTTTGACTCGACAAGTCTTGATCATTTCTCCGAAACCCAAAGTGATCTGTGTAAATATATTATTATTTTTATTTAAAAGGACTCGAGACAGAAGCGGCAGGACTTGGGACTTGACTTGACACTTTTCAGTCTTGACTTGAGACTCGACTCGGACTTTGCCTGTCTTGACTTGAGACTCGACTCGGACTTTGTCTGTCTTGACTTGAGACTTGACTCGGACTTGAGTGCAAAGACTTGAGACTTACTTGTGACTTGCAAAGCAACGACTTGGTCCCACCTTTGCTCAATAGCATTTCAATTTGCAAGGGTGTGGGTCGGAGGGTTTGTGAAAACATTTCTGTCCTCAAGAGGGGGGGGGGGGGGGATGACAGAACATA